AGTTTGGATTGTGTGAGCTCCTCTGCTTGGTTTCTTTTCTTTTGGGTTTTATTATTATTTTTTGCATTCTTGAACTCAAAATCTGATATCATTAGCTACTATATATTTTAACAGCTTTATTGAGATTTAACTCACATATTGTAAAATTAATCATATAAAGTGTATAATTCAATATTTGGAGTATGTTCAGAGGGTTGTACAACCACTATCATCTAATTGTAGAACATTTTGTCCCTCCTAAAAGATACTTTGTAGCTATTAACAGCCAGTCCTTATTTTTTCCTCCTCCCCAGTCCTAAACAAGCAATAAGCTACTTTCATTATTTTTATTTTTATTTTTTTGAGATAGTTTCTCACTCTGTTGCCAAGGCCGAAATGCACGGGCACAATCACGACTCACTGTAGCCTCAACCTCCTGGGCTCAAATGATCCTACAACCTCAGCCTCCTGAGTAACTGGAACTACAGGCATATGTCACCATGCCCAACTAATTTATCTATATTTTTGAAGGAATAAGGGTCTCACTATGTCTCAAATTCTTGGGCTCAAGAGATCCGCCTTCCACAGCCTCCCAAAGCACTGTGATTACAGGCATGAGCCACTGCACTTGGTCCCATTTCTATCTATATAAATTTACCTATTTTCTACATTTATAAATTGAATCATACAATATGTGTTTTTTATGTCTTTCATGGAACTTAATGTCTTCAAGGTTTATCCATGGATGAATCAATACTTCATCTCTTTTTATGGTAGAAAGATATTTCTTTGTATGTTTATGCCACATTTTGCTTATTCATTTTTCAGTTCAGTGACATTTGAGTTCTGACTTTTTAGATATTACCAATATGCTGCTATTAATATTGATGTTCAGTATATTTTGTGTGAACTTATGTTATCATTCCTCTTGAATGTGTGTGTTTGTGTGTTTGTGTGTGTGTGTGTGTGTGTGTGTGTATATGACATATATATATGTCATATATATATGTCATATATATATATATGTCATATATATATATGTCATATATATATATATATATATATATATATATATATATATATATACATGATGTTGGCTTACCAAGTCATCTGGTAAGCCTATGTTTAACTTTTTGTTACTGCCAATCTGTTTTCAAAGCAACTGCATTATTTTGCATTCTCACCAGCAATGTATGAGGATTCAATTTTTCCAGATCCTTGCCAATACTTGTTATTTTTGAATATAGCAATACTAGTGCATGTGAAGTAGTGTTTCAGTGTGATTTTGATTTGCATTTCTCTAATCATGAATTATATTGAACATCTTTTCTTGTGCTTGTTTGTCATTTGAACACCTTCTTTGGAGAAATGACTGTTCAAATATTTTGGCAGTTTTTAAATTGGGTTATTTGACTTTCTGGTATTGAGTTTTGTTTCATATATTATGGATGTAAGTCCTTTATTAGATGTATGATTTTCAAATATTTTCTCCCATTTGTATGAGATGTCATTTCACTTTTTGATGGTATTATTTGCATCATAAACATTTTAAGTTTTTGTGTTGTTCAATTTATATTTTTTTCTTGTATTGCTTTTAAGTTTCGTGGCTATAACTATGAGGACTTTGCCTTACCCAAGGTCACAAACATTTGCTTTAAGTAACTTTGTACAAATTTTGAGTTTTGGCTCTTACATTTACATTGGTCATTTATTCTGATTTAATTTGTATTATGGGTTGAGGTAGGGACCTGACTATTCCTTTGCATGTGGGTATATAGTTGTCCTGACATTATTTGTTAAATTCTTTTCCTACTGCATTGTTTTGGCATGTCTTTTAAGTTGAACTGAATAAATGTAAGGCTTTATTTCTGAAATCTCAGTTTTATTCCACTGATCCATATATCAATTCACATGCCAATACCACACTATCTAATAAAGACTTTAGTGTAGTAAGCTTTGAAATTAAGAAGTGTGTGAACTTTTTAAAGACTATTTTGGCTAATCTTGTTTTCTTGAATTTACATGTACATTTTAAGGCCAAATTGTCAATTTTCATGAAAAGCTATTAGTAATTTTGGTAGTGATTGCATTGATCCTGCAAAATAATGTCTGAATTATTGCCACCTTGACAATATTGTCTTATGGTCTATAATAAGGTGTATTTCAGTTTATTTAGTTCATTTTAATTTTTTTCAGCAATGTTTTATAATTTTCAGTGTATAGCTCTTATACTTTTTAAAACTTTATATCTAAATTTATTCCTAAATATATCAGTGTTTTGAAACCCTTATAAAAGAAATTATTTTTCCTGCTTCATTTTCAGATTGTTTATTGCTAATTAAAAAATATAATTGATTTTTAATACAGACGTGAAGTCATTTATTAGTCCTAAAGTTTTTTAGTGGATTCCTTAGAATTTTCTATATATGTGATTATATCATTTGCAAGTGACACACAAAGCATCTATAAAGATAGTTTTACTTGTTTCTTTCCAATTTGGGTGTGTTTTCTTTCTTTTCCCTGATTAACTTCCCTGGCTAGATTCACCAGTATGATGTTAAATAGATGAGGCTAGAGCAGACATTCTTGTTTGGCTTCTATTTTAAGAGGAAAGCATTCAGTCTCTCACAGTTAAATAAGATGTTAGTTACAGGAGGTTTTTGTAGATGTCCTTTATGAAGTTGAGGAAATTCCTTTCTATTCCTAATTTACTTAGAATTTTTATCAAGAAAGTACATTGGTTTTTGTCAAATGATTTTTTTCCTGCATCTACTGAGATAATCATATACTTTTGTCTTTTATTGTATTAATATGATATGTTAAATTAATTCATTTCATTGTGTTAAACTAATCTTCCATTCCTGGAATAATTCTACTTGATTGTGGTATATGATAAATTTGTAAATGTGGTTGGGTTTGGTTTGCTAGTGTTTTATTGAGGTTTTTTTGTATTTATATTCATAAAAGATATTATTCTATATATCTGTGATATATTTGGTTTTGGTATCAAGATAATGCTGGCCTCATTGGATAATTTGGGAAGTGTTTTCTCACTTATTGCTTTAAAAGAGTTTATGATGAGTTCCATTGATTCTTTGAATGTTTGGTCTAGTGAAGCCATCTGGACCTGGGCTTTTTCTGTGCATGAAAGCTGTTTTAATTACTAATTTTGTCTTCTTACTTGTGATAGGCCTATAAAAATATTTTTATTTTTGTCAGCCAATATCAGTAATTTAAGTCTTTTTAGGAATTGTTAATTTTATATTATTAATTCTAATTTGTTGACATCACTTGTTTATGGTTTTTTTGTGATTTTTTAAAATTTTTATTTTTGTAAGGTCACTAATGATCTTTCTTTTATTCCTAATTTTAGTAATTTGACTCTTTGCTCTTATATTTTATGTAAGTAGAGCTTAAACTTTGTCATTTAAAAAGTTGTTTTCAAATACTGCTTCTGGTTTTGCTGATTTTGTCCATTGTTTCCTACTGTCATTTGTTTCTCCTCATTTTTTACATATTCTCTCCCTTCTACTTGATTTTAGTTTAATCTTTTTCTGGTTGCTGGGTAATTGTACTAGTGGATAGAATTAGAATTTGAGTTTTCAGCATAGGAAAGGTGAGTTATTCTCTCAGGATTTAGGGGATAGGTCAGGAAGAGGCATATGTAATTATGTTTTTAGCTGTTTGGCCTAATGTGATTTCCTATATATAGTTGTTTGAATATGTTGCTTTAGCCACCACTACTTACAAGGACTACTGTATGTCAGAAAAATAAATAAAAAACAAAACTAACAAAAAGCACCAAGGGATTTACTTTTTGTTTTGCAGTGAGCTCAATCTGCTGGGGTTACTGTTCAAATAAACTCTTGCTATTTCATTGCATAATGATTTTGCTCAGATTAATCACCTTCTTGTGCTGTATACTGGCGTTAATGGCTATGTTATGTTACTTCAAATTATGTCACAGAGTCCAAATAAGAAGTGTGGGTGTATGTGTGTGTATGTTTGTGTGTGTTTGCAAGCAGGAAGCCCTTTCATGTTGCAGCCATGTAAGATTAACTTTATTATCTCATTCCAAACTTATTTCTTACTCATATTATCCATGAAAACTCTTTGTCCTTTGCTGTACTTCCCAGCAAAATGGCTTTTGCCTGGCTCCACTCCAGCCTATATCAAATTATATTTTTTTCTGGAATCGATTTCAACAGTAGGTGATATTTTCTCTGAATTCCTACAGTACTTTGCATATTTGTTATCATGGCCCTCAAAATGACAAGAGCTACCATTTGCTGAGTGTTCATTATATGACTAACAGTGGATTCCATCCTTTAAATGCATCATTTCATTTAATTCTTACAATTCTGTGAGGTGGGCTCTGTATTTTACAGGAGAGAAAAACTGAAATTTAGAGAAGTTTAAGTGATTTGCACAAAATATGCTGCTTCCAGGTAGAAGATCTAAATTTCACGTAGATAATTTCTAGAGCTCATATTTTTAACCTTTACCAGTTGTTGTTCTTTAGACCAATACTGATAGCATAATAAATGTGTTTTCTTTCCTAGGATATACAATAACCTGGGATAACTGTGTTATTTCTTTCATTTCTCAAATAACACCTTCTAGGGCCCAGCAACTCAATATTGTTTGGATGAATTAATAAATATCTAGAATTAAATTATCACAATAAAAATTTACTGGGCCTTAAAATTTATTTTAAAATAATTTAAGAAAGTTGTACTGATAGCTACAAATAACTCATTATTAGAACTTAAAAGATGGAATTTATGGGTAAGCATGATTTATTCAATATTAACTATGACAAATGTCTTCTCTTATGTTTCTTCAAGTTCTGTATGTAAGTAATGCATAAAATAGTGAAATATTCATTCATGAATTTTTGAAGTTTCCTATCTAGACAATTTGGTTGAAGTTATCAAAATATTTTGTTTTAATCAACTTTATGCATTAATTGCAAATTAGTTTATTAATCTTGTGGGATTTTGTTGTTGTTTTGTTTCCAGGATGGCGTAGGGGTAGATGAGAAGCTGTCTTTACGACGGGTAGCTGTGGTTGAAGATTTCTTTGACATTATTTATTCGATGCATGTGGAAACGGGGCCAAATGGAGAACAAATTCGAAAACATGCTGGACAAAAGAGAACTTACAAAGCAGTAAGTTAAAAAAGAAAAAAAAGAACATGCATTTTGAAATTTGATATTATGTATCCTTGTTAAAATAGGTTTGATAATTATAAATATTCTATCCTCAACATAAATTAGACAATATGATGGTCATGCGCAACATTTAAACTATAATTATTTTGGTTCTACGTTCACTAGTCTATTTCATATAGTTTATAGCTGTCTCTAGACTAATTTTCATATTGTTGCCATTAAACATGTATAATATGTGTAGTCTCAGTCAAATGCCCACAAATGGAAAGATATATTTGTATTATATATTCAGTGTGTCATAACATGCGAATTATGGACTGGAACCATAAGAACGTTAAGACTACCACAACTGTCAACATTTATTTTCCATCAAATCATATTAATATGTTTAAGTATTTTCTAGTTCATAGTAATAATGAAAGAATAAGAACATTTTATGTACTTTTCTTATGTCATCTTATATTCAATGTATTTATCCTGAAGGGTATGTATTTCTTAATTCCTAAGATAGGCTATTAAAAGATATGTGTTATTTTAATAGACGAATGCCCTTGAAAGTTTAAAAATGGAAGTACATGATGTATTTGTCATACATTTTTGTAAAAAGCAGATTTAATTGTTAGATATTGAAATATATATTGTCAAAATGAAGTAATGTATTATTTCTAAAGTTTCTAATTATACCTACAGTTTGATCTAGATGCTTTAATCTAGCTTTTATTTAATTAAAAACTTTATAAGATAATATTACTATAGATATATCATCCTATCTAGGAAAATTGAACAGTAAATTATTCTTCTCCTATATGAACAAACTGTACATCGGAATTAGTTTATCAGCAACAAGAATAATATCCTTTTTGAGAATTCTTATTGAATTTTGCTTTTGGCTACCTTTATATTAACTGTTTTCAGCTATATTTATATACAATATCAGTCTGGATCCATTTTTTTTTCAGATACAGAAAAATGTGTGAAATACTCAAAGTTTCAAATACAGGTACATATGTTTGAAAATTAGCTACTGAGCATAAGAAATAGCTTCTTTTTCATAACTATTTTTTGCTATATTGCCAGGGTCATATTGAATCTTTGTAGTTGCATAATAACCCCTAATACATGTATTTATCCCTCCTTCTCTATGGTTTTGTTTCTTGGCTGTTTCCAAATTGCATGGTTTGTGGGCAGGCACTATTGTAAGTTTCCTTACATAATTCTGCCGCATAAACTTTCTTTTGACTTACACATTCCAGGAGACATTCTTATTATGACTAATGATAATGACCTAGCTTCTTGAGATATTTTTATATAAACTAACATTACTGAATATACTCATTTCGCCTGTCTCCTAAACCAGGGTTATTCCTCTGGACAGTAATAGGAAAAAAAGAAATGTATGTTGATCTACTAATATCACTAACTGTGTAATCTTATAATAATGCATTTTCATGAAATAGCTACCCGAACTTAATAGGACTTTTCAAAAGGACTTTGCTAGGGATGCATAATTTCAGTTGTATTAAATGAATACAAACAAAAACCAAAGCAACAAGCAAAAGTCAAGTGACTTCATTGACAATAGTAGTGTGGCAGCCAAATCTGTTTAGGTGCCAAAAGCAATTTAAAATGATTTAATTTTTAAAATGCATTTATTATAGACCTTTAATCAAAATACAGAGTGAGTCAATGATTTAAATCCAAATCACTCGCCCCGTGTTTTGTTAAATAAAGTGTAGAGAATCTGATCCATTGCCATTATGCATGCTGAACACTTGCAATAAATTGGTAAACATGTTTCCATTACACATAATTTTGAATTAAAATGAGGAAGACATTTTCTACATTTTGGGGTAGGGATACCAACTTTGAAAGTGTACACAGAATCTGAAACCTCATCTAATCCCTCTTGATAATGTCCTGCTGAATATCCTCTCCTTTCCCAAGTTTTTTTTATTTCCACGTCTAAAGTGTTGTCACCTTTTCCTAATACCATGAAGGTTCTTTGTGGCCTAAACTCTTTTCCTTTGCTCCCTCTCAATTGAATTTTAATTGGGAAACATTTCCTTTTTATGCAATAAGAATTTATTGTAGGAAAGAAACAAAATACAGAACTGCTTGCAGTGCCAGTGAAACTGTGCATATGACTCTACAATGAACTTAAGTCTAATGCTAAAATTTGATGTAAGTGTTCAATTAATGGGGCATAAAGCTAAAATGTAATTTGAAATAGAATGATTTAGTGCTATTAAGGCCATAGACTATTGGGCCAGACTTCAATTCTTAATACTAATGCTGAATTTGGCTAGACATAGGCAGGATTAGCTAGATGCCTATTGCAATTATAATGGTTCCCATTAAGGTTAAGATTTCTTTCTAATTCTTAAACATTAGCTTAAAGAGCATGCATGATGATTATGTTTATTGACCTTCTTTTTCTCCTTTTAACTACATGGCCAAGAAACCATACTTATACAACTAATCATTAAAGTGTTTCATATTGTCTTAACAATATTATCAATAGATCTAGTGGTCATTTTATTTACTTTGCCTTTTTGCAAATCTTTCTATGTTTTCACTCTGCAGGAAATGGTGGTCCTTTAATATTGGATTAACTTTTGAATGCATTTGGTTTTTCTATATGCAGTATATCATTCCTTGAAATATCTAGGCATTTATACAACTTAAACTTTATTGCAATATGATTTGACTTTAGATAAAATTGGAGGATATGTATTTTATTACTCACGAGCTCTTGAAAATCCACACAAAATGACACATTTTAGGAATATGTAAAGGCTATCATCATTATTTTTTCAATCATTATTGAATTATATCTGTTAGGTGTTTTTTCTGCATTTGTATCTGTATACATAGTAACTGTTACTGGTACATTGTATGTGTTTCTTTCAACATATTTGTCTGTAGTCAACTCTTTGTTATATACATGAACAAAATGGAGAAGAAGTATGGACTATTCAATATTACTCATGTTTGAACTTAAAATATGTCCTTTTACTAAAAATTGAATGCAGTTATGGTTAGCAATTTGGAAAGTCACTTCAAAATTAATGATGTGACATTATAAAAATAACTTTGGATTGTGTTTTGTCTTTCAGTGTTTAACTCTTCTCAAATTCTGCCAAAACATCACCTTCCATGAATACATCACTGTTTTCTGGTTTTCTTTTATCAATTATATTATATCACAGGGTAAGCGAGTTCAGACACATTTCTTAAATTAGGGTCTAATCAAAGGGTTAAGTTTCAAAACTCTTTCTTGCTACGTGTAAAATAAGACTAACTGGTGGAAATCCAAGAACTAAGAGGAAAAGGCAGTGTTATCAATAGAGAAAACAGTCTGCGTATATCTGTGTACACACACATATACACACACAACTCATAGTGTGATATTGTAAACTTACATGTATTACTCATATATATAAAACTGCCAATAATTACATTCAAGTCAGGAGTGGAGAACATATGCTATAGCTAAAAGGAAATAGGCTGGAAGCCAGACAAACGCAGTTTCAAATTTCAAATCTAACACTCATTTCGTATCTGTACCACTTTTGGCAAATTATTTACTCTTTTTCTTTATATGGTGGATAATGATATACATTGTGTGCTAAAATGAATGAGTTACTATGTGTAAAGTGCTCGGCATATAGTAAACTTGTGAATGGTGTTATTTCTCTCCTTTATCCAGTCACTATTCATGTTCCATGAAGAATGACAGGCAGCAAAATTAACATAGCTCTATCATTTACTCTAATTATAATTATGGATCTAATTTCCTATGCACCCTCTGATGCCTCTGTTTGGCAGATAGCAATAGTAATAATTCTTCATGCATGCTTTTTGTGGTGCATCCTGTAGATGTCACTATCCCTGGAAGTTCACCATTTGGGTTTAAAGAAAGCATGAGGAAAGGCCAGAGTTCCTATGTTTAGGAGCTCTCCTGCCAGATGAAATTTGTGAGAGTTCCAGTTATTTCATTTGCTTTTCCCAAGATTAAATCTGTTAAACTATTTCAAATCAATTTTCTGGAAAAAACCAAAATTGGATCTTTCTTAAAAAACAATATTTTAATATGAATGGAATACTATACACTTGTCAGAGTGTAGAACAGTAACATATTCATGTAGCATCTCTATAGCCCTACTCTAAAGATTAACAAAGAAAATCTTTATTCTATCACATCTAGGACACTTAACCTTAAAACTCTAGTTAGCATTATTATTATTATTATTTTTTGCCTAGTTCTTTTTATAAATACCTGTTGGTTCACTGCCTTTATTACTAACTAGAATATTCTAACTGGCACCAGTTTCTGCTAGTTTGTTATGTAAAAATTCCCAGAATTTTTGTCAACTTATAATGAGACTAATGAACCAAATTTGCAGCCATTATGTTGTGGAAAAATAGCACTGGAGTAAAATTCAAGAGGTCTGAGCAATTCACTTAACCTCTTTGTGCATAAGCCACAGTTCGCTCACATATATGATATAATTCTATAAGACGGGTTTGTAGAGTGTACAGATCTTAACAGTGTTGAAATAGGGATTTATCTGTATACTTTTGTGATTAGTGCCAGGAAGGCTTTGGGTTCCAAGCACATTTTCCTTCTGTGTCATAGTGCCTCAAGTTTTACAATTAGAACTCAATCTCTTTGGGTTAAACCATTGACCCCTGTATCTTTATATAAAATCGAAATATTATACAAGAGAATGTAGAAAATTAATTAAGTTTCTAGGAATCATTAATACTGTATATGATCATTTAACATACTTGTTTCTGTCTCTCATCTCTAGCTGAATTTAAATCAAGCCAAGAGTGAGATAGAAAGAAAATGTGAGTCATTGGCATAGAGTAATCTATTGACTTCCCAATTAGCATAGGACCTTCCTGTTTTTTTTTTTTTTTTTTTTTTTTTTTTTT